TCATCGGGCAGTTTCAAATCTTGAGATCTCACGGACGGTCCCTTCAAAAAATTCGAAAAATGCCACAACTGTTGGGGGTGTCTTGTCAAGCATGCCTACACTGTTTGCTCATGCTGCATGGTATTTTGTTTCCCCATGCGTCACTCTTGTCTTGTCCATTTCCTGCCATCTGAGCCCCGGAATGTTTGATTCACATCTATGGAGCAAAGAGGTCAACAAGGTCTGCACGTGAAACAATGAATTCCCATGGAGCAACACAAAGCATGCTCGCTGAAGCTCGAGACTGGGATCGCGACTCCGAAGCTTGCGATAAGAAAGCACCATCCTCTGGCGAATGACCTACAAGCTCAAGACTCAACTGCTGCTTCACGAACAACGTCTATCAAAGAATGGCGAACATCCAAACAATACACATGCTATATATAAATACATCAACTGCACTGCGAAACCAGCATCAGGTCAGTTTCATTGTCAACACGACACAGCAAGTCGATCATCAGTCAACTTCACAGCGAAGTGCATTTCTCTTTTTCATCAAGGTAAATGCTGTGTGCAGAGATCGAGAGATGACAGTCAACGAACGTGCCGGCTCCAGTGTTAATCTAATGTCAGTTTTACGGGATGCCTTTGAAGTCAGGTAGATGTTTTACATGTTCTAACTCTAACTTCATGACGCAACGCCTGCTCCCCGCTCGGACAGTCCCTACTGCGAGAAACATACGTCAGGTCATGTTTTACATCTTCTAACTCTAATTTCATGATACAATGCCTGCTCCCCGCTCGGACAGTCCCTACCGCGAGAAACATACGTTGGGTCATGTTTTACATCTTCTAACTCTAATTTCATGACGCAACGCCTGCTCCCCGCTCGGACAGTCCCTACCGCGAGAAACATACGTCAGGTCGCAGTGTAGTATACCGTCGAAATAAGATGACCATGTCGAACAAAGACATCCGGTAAATCTAAACACCGCTACATGGCCGCTGACAAAGCTCCCCGCCAGCAATGCTAAGCAAAAAGATCAGCAGACATTTCATCTGCAGACAAATGCTGTGACACCCAAGGGATGCACTGCCATGAAAGTCTATGCACATACTTCAGCGCCTTCCGCTCGTCCACGCAGGCCTGACCTTCAAACTCCCGCATCCGCTGCACCAAAAGAGGATTGTGTTCGTGCAGAAACTTTTCGAACACATTGCGAGGCGGCAAATCCACTATCCACAGATCTTCCAGCTTGGTTGGCCTTGACAACACCACGTACATAGCCAAGCCATAGTCCGCTTGACTCATCCAGGACGGTTTGGACATGAAAGCAAGCAGCCCTTGTCTGGCAGTGATGCCCTGCAAACCGTAGTGCGTGAGAACGTGACGAGGTGCCAGTGGCAACTGTTTGCGATGAACCTGCATAAATTGATTGCCCCCAAGAGGAAGATCCCAGGCCTGATCACATGTAACGGGACGCAGCCAAACGTGTCCCTTCGGAGCACTGCCATCTGGCAATTCAATGGCACGATATTCCGGGTCATCGATCTCGACCAAGACGGCCAACGGCTGATATTGCAAAACGACACGCCCACTGCTGTTTGAAATTACAGGTTCCTTCGGGTGCAACTTAATGGAGCGAACAATGACCGGCAACTCTCGACTCAGCATCGGCATGTCCAAAATGCAACTAACACGTGCTGCCATCCCTTCATACAAAGGGCAAATGCCCATGAGATACTGCGTTCTTGTCATGTTCACAACCTGCAATGCCTTCAGGCTCTGCTCCCTTGTCAAATCTGTGGGCCCCGATGCACGATCAATAGCTTGCACCAAGAAAAGAGTCGTGGACCTCTATTGAGCTTCCCAAGCCACCCGCAAATGCTGTAAACGAGCAACCTGTTCCCACGCCAGGCCGCCCCAGTGAGCACTCAACAACCTTGAGCGCAAGGAATTGTCAGAAAAAAGTTGCTCTCGGCTGATCACTCGAGATTCCAAAGCTTCCCACAATGCATCCTCCAGATGTTCGCCTCGCCGCATGGACAAAAGAATCCTCACAAGCTGCTGTCCGGATGCACACTTCGAAAAACGACCGGATCCAGTGAAGTGCACAACTCGCTGGAGCGATTGCTTGAACGCGATCCGTCCAAGTTCTGAGGCATTGCTGGTGCGTTCAGCCGCCTCCTTCTCCACGGCCTCTTCGGCATCGCTTTGGTCTTCTTGGTCTTGAGGCGGTGCAGGATCAGTAGCTCGTGGCGCATCCACCCATTCGCACAAGGATGCTTGCGCAGTGGGTCGCAATTGTAGAAAGTCAGCAACTTGCACACCAATGGGCACCTTCCCAAACCACTGCTTCAAGTAATCGCCCATGTCAAGCATAAGTCGAGCTTGTCGAACAGTGGCAAATCGAAGCGAAGCAGCATGGTACCATCGACAACTCGTCCAACAGCATGGCCATGATGCCTTCGATCTTCTTTTCGATCGGGCTGCCCTTGCTCTTCGCCGAACGCAAGGAGCGGCGATCCAAGCTGCTGCTCTTGTGCACATTGGCCCACTTGTGCAAAGTTTTGGCCTCAGGCCCCAGGAGGCGAACAGCAGCGTGCGTCGGAGCACCAGCAACATAACCATCCTGTCCAAAAAAGCGTCGAAAGAGTGGCCTCAATACTTTGCTGTATGCATACGTCTTTCCAGATCCACCAGCTCCGAGCCAAAGACAATTGCACCTTTCATTGCACGCACCATCCGCAATGCAATTGTCCGGATTGCTTCGGTTAAGCCACATCTGTTCCATGACCCAAGCAATGGGCGCAATGGCCAAAATCTGTTGGCGATTCAGACTGTGCTCCACAAGCAAGGCAGAAGCATAATCACTCGGACCCACATTCCTCTGGTTCAGCTCCACCAAAAAGGCATCTTCCGTCTCTGGCAAAGGCCGAAAAACATGATCTGCCATCATCTCAGTATCCTCTTCACCACCTGCTGCATGAAGACCCACCAACGAGAACACAACAAGCAAACAAAATTCCCCCCCCCCGAAAAAAAAACAACAGAACTGACATATTCAGCAAATCAGCTATATGTTACAACGACAAAAAAGAAAAACAAAACAAAACTCATCCACAACCACAAAGCTCCGCCTCCAACGCAAAATTCCAAATATTGCTTCTGCAGCATCAAAGACCTCTGGGCTTCGGCGAACGTCCAATTACGCTCCAATCCACTGGCTGCGTTGCCTTTGATTCCCAAATCAATCCTCGCATCCGGAACACCTCCCAAACCATTCACAAAGTCACGCAAACGCTGCAACGCATCCTGCAGCACCGCAGCTACATGATTGTTTGTCGGTAACATATGTTCTCGTCAACAAGGCCATATCACAAAAGCTCGGTACCACATACTGGTGACCATGGAACGTATCATATCCTTTTAGTAGACATTTTCCACACGGATGACTACTTACAGCTTGCTAGCATGATGCAGCAAACAACGCATGTTGCAACACAAGGCATATCATGCTTTATTCGGCACATCTCACACCCGCTGAAAGATGAATCATCAACAACGTTACACAACAACAGCTTAGTACCATGATGCTGCGAAAAACATATATCATCTCCTTTTATCAGGGAAATTCCCACGAACATCGCCCAAAAAGCTCGATACCATGTCCTGCAATACAGATGGCTTTCGATTGCCCAACACCTTCATCCAATCCTCTTCCCGAAACATAGCTTCGTGCAATGCTTCTCCATCCACCGGCCACTGCGCACGTTCCAAGTTGTCCAACTCTTCTTGCAATAGCAGATCATCCTCGACCTCGTGTCCTTCTATAACCGGCGGTGCCGAATCATCTTCCAGGTCCTCCTCCTTGTCCAAAGCAGTCATCAAAGCATAACGCTCAGCTGTCCGACGACTGCTGCTGAGACGACGTGCAGCACAGTGCTGCTGGAAACGCTCCAACCACGATGTCTGAATATAGGCCAAGAACTCTTGCGATGTCAACTGAGTGTAATGAAACGGAACGGACAAGTCTGCGAACCAGGCAACGCGCTCACAGATGCGCAGCATGTCATGATAGCGACAATCCGCTCCTTCTGCTCCACCGAACAGCTTCTCCAAACATCTAAAAGCACTGCTGGTGTCACCAATGCCAGCAACATAGGAACGCACTGATGCAACATCCCGGATGACCGGAGCAGACAAACCGGCCAAAACTCTTTCCTCCGCCAAACACCTCCTCATTGACATGTAACTTTTCCAGTGCTTCCAATGCAGCGTAAAACGAGCAAAAAGAACGCCTTGCTTTGCATCTTCTTCCATGGTGTGGCAAGCAAAGCATCGATGTGACAAACTGCAATCTCCAGAACACGTTGGGAATGGAAAAGATAATCCCAACATGTGAGCTGCGTACTTCTGCACCTCAGCATCCTTCGGAAGGTGCAAATCTGAAGGCACCACAACACTGTCATCTGCTGCTCTCACTTCCTGCGAATTTCAGCTCAACACAGAAATAAACAACTTCACCCGAACTTGTTAACACTTTCCAAATATCAAACTTAAAGACACCAAACAAAGTAAGAACGAGAAAAAAGAAACAGAACCACCCACCGCAAGCAATCCTGAACGGAGGAACTGAAGTGGGCATAGTGCTCATCAAAGTCGAAAAACTTCACTCCATCCACCTTGCCGGCTTTGTTCCTCGAAACTCTGCGAACGAAGCGAGAATACATCAAAAGAGACATGCATTGCAACAAAACCGAAGAGCCCCTGTGCAAGTAATCGTCTTTCTGGTTGAAGTTCACATGCACCTGCTGGACTCTAGGCACATCACCTCCCTCATCAACAACCTCCGCAAACTCATCCACCACCACTGGTGCCTCTCCTTCGGGGTCAGGAAGCACATCCAAGGGCGAGCCATTGAGATGCGGCCTAGCTTGCAAAACCTCCTCCATGTCCTCATGTCTGCAACGCATGATTGCATACGGCACATAGCGGAAGAACATGTTGTAGCCACGATACGTCACCAGTTGCTCCTGCTCGAATAACATCTGATACGCCATTTCACCGTTGGATTTGGCCACACAACGATTCATTCCAAAGGCAAGTCTTCTCAAAATCGTCAATGCACGCCTCTGTTGCCCTGTCATAGTAGGGTCCCTGTCCCCCTCCAGGGGCTCCTGCTCGGAGGCCGCTGCAGCTTCCTTTGCCCTTTCCCTTTCCTCCTCTTCCAATCGCTGCACTCCTTCAATGTTGCCGTTTACTGAGAACCAAATTAAGGCACACACCAAAAAATAATCTATACCATCTCATTTCATTGTAGGAATTCCCATACAAATCCTCAAAAAAGGAGTCGGTATCGTGATGTTCCAAATCAGATATGTTACATTACTTTACTAAGGACATTTGCACAAAATACTGCAAAACAAAGTCGGTAAGAAAAAATATCGTCAAAAATTTCCGTTTCGACCGCCCCGAAGCAAACAGTCCTGCATACAATTCAGGTAACATACTCCGCGAAATTTCAAACTTCTTTGCAGCATACTCACCAGTGTAAAAACCAACATTCATCATATCTCTTGCAAGGTCCACCAGAATGCGCTCAAGCGCCTTTCTCATCGTCTGCATCTTCTTATGCTCCGTGTCCAAAACACGACCCATGCATTGCTTCTTCGGCGGCGGATCCGAAGCATCCAACTCAGTCGACACAGGTCGCTCTGCATGTGAGGCATCAGCACCCGATATAGCATCCGAAGACGAACCAAGCGCCGGGCGTTGAAGTTCCATCTCCTGCAATCCACTCCCGGACAGTTCCAACAGAGAAGATGCAGAAGCAGGAACTTCGACTCCAGGCTCCTGGTCTATGCTCCCATCACAAAACTTCAAAAGGTCTGCTTCTGAAAAATTGCGTCCAATGTACTTGACATCCACATTGCATCGCATCACTGCTTGCGCCACCGGGTCCGACATCCCTTCAAAAGGGTGATCACGCCGAGCTTGAAACACATGCGGGCTTTCGTTTTTGAACTCTTCAACCTCCTTCAAATCTACTGTCTCATATTGCAACCGAGAAAAACCTGCTTTCGCAACTCGAGGCCAACCTTTCCGACATAACACTTTCGGCTTGTCCTCCTTGCCCAGAATCATTTCAACGTGAAAGCAACCAAAGCGACACCCACGTTTGCCTTTCACGGCTTTCCTCAGCCAAAGCAACATGTCGCGTTTACATATACATACTTCTTCACGTTGACAGCCAACTATGCACGTTGTACACTCCAGACGTCTCTTTTCCATTCTACACAAAAATGTTTTACGCTAACTGATACCGTAACAGCAACCGTGCAACATGTAAACGAACAACAAAAGCCATGACCAAGCCGAAACCGCACGTAACTCAAAAATAACGACAAAAACAAACAACCACACCCACAACCACAACCAAAACAACAACCACGACAACAACAACAACAACAACAACAACAACGACAACGACAACAACAACAACAACCACCACAACTTTGCCAAGCTCATTGCGAGGAACTTTTTGAAACATGATTTCGTGCATTTGTGAAAATGATTCTGGATCACCAAACGTCTGTAATCCTCACAGAATTTTTTCTTCCACTCAAGACCATCTCCCGCAGAACGTTCACTGCGTCGCAGATACTTGGGTCGCAAAGAAGCATAGCATCCGGTCAATGTCAAAACCTTGCCAGCCACGGATCCGCCCAACTTCAAGGCTTCCAATTCGTGTCCATCCGGCTCCGTAGGCACCAAAGGTGCGGATTCATACTGGTGACCACATTCTGATCGCTGACGTTCATTCAGAGGCAGTGGCTGTGTCGGACTGCTCAACTGCTCCGACAAGGCCAATTGAGAATCATACTGAAAACGCTGCACAGCCTCCAAAACACGACGACTCCACCGCTGCAACTCAACGACCAACTCACCATGCTGCACCCGATGAATCAGTTTCCGCAAGCGATCTCCCAGGTCGTGTCCCAGCAAGATAATAAGCATGTGGGGGTGCAAAGAACCACGACCCTGAGTCTCCAACGGGCCATTCAACGCCACAATATCACCGAAAACACCTCCTTGCAGGGAACTCGCAATGCCATCTTCGAAGGTTGCTGCCACGCCAACCCGAAAACTTCCCTTGGTCAAAGGTGGAAGAATGCCCAACACTTCCTCACAGAACAAATCCATCATCAAGGCAAAGCAACGCGCTTGAGCGACGGGATCGCTCGCGACAATCCGTCGCATAGCAGCTGCGCTGGGCAATTCGGGCATCTCCGCCTCCCAGTCCAAATCAATTTTGCACTCTTCCACTTTGACATTCTGCAGGTGCAATTGAAGTAGCAAGGACGAGCGCATATCTGCGATGTTGGGAGTGACGAACAGATGCGCAGAACCATAATGCCACCCAGCCGCATGTCCACGCAACCGGATCTGGCTGCGGTGCCCTTCCATGCCAATGATGCTCGAAGTTGCCTGAAGCACTCCTCCCAATGCTCGCTTCAAGGCCACATCCACCTGCGGATCTCGCAGCAACTCCCTGAGGTCCGCATTGTCTCCATGCAATGCCATTGCCTTGAGCAATTGGTCCGTGTTGACTTCAGAAATAACACGACAATGTTTGCCAAAGCCACGACGCATCACATGCGCTTTCGTCGCACGCATCAACTGTAATCGACGCTGCACGTCGTACATCACTGGAAGCAACGTCTCCTGCCCGCATACTTGGAACAAAGGCGACCAAACTCAAAAACTGAAACCACCAAAACACAACCACCAAACCATCCTGGGGAAACAGAAAACTCAGCAACAATTGAATAAACCAAATCCAAAGCACTGAAAGCGACCATCTTGGCAACAAGGCATCACCCTCACTGTAATGCAGTTCTTCCCGAAGCAACAAATATCGAAACACTTCTGTTGCATCCATGTTGGCTTCACGCTTCAAAAAAGGCAAGCCATCACCCCATGGAAACAAATCCGGAAACGACATGCCCCAGGTGGCCGGATCAAACATCGACAGCGGTTCGTCTCTGGTCGGAACAACCAACTTGGAAGGTTTGACTTGGAACATAGCTGATTCCACATTGCGCTCATTTTCAGCCGTGCCACGGGCAATCTTCTGAATTCTCCGAATTTTTTGAAGTGTTCGCCTCTCTTGGGCTCCTTCACGACCCAAAAGTTCACCAGGAACAGATGCATCCGGGGCCGGCATTTCATTGTTGATGCGGTTGCGAAGCACATCGGCAGCATCGCTCCTTCGCCGCCCACCCTGTCTCACACAGACCTCCTCCACATCCTTCAACACACGCACCCACTTGTTCTGTTCATCCGCACCATCGTTCAAGCCAACAATGGAAGACATCAAATGACCTGCAATGTTTGCGTGAGTGAGTTTTCCATATTTACTTTCACACACACAAAACAAAATGGTTCCGAAACGCAGACGTTACAAAGCAAAACTCGATATTAACATCGTTTTCGATCGCTTCATTCGGACAGTCCCTAGCATGAAGCAATGAATACAACCAAATTCACTTCCGAACCCTGCCTGGTGCATCTAGGCCTTCACGCTGCTTCATTCGGACAGTCCCTACCATGAAGCAATCACCTGCACCTGCAATGTGTGCGCGAGTTTTCCATATTTACTTTCTGCCACACAAAACAAAATGGTTCCGAAAGGCAGACGTTACAAAGCAAAACTCGATATTAACATCGTTTTCGATCGCTTCATTCGGACAGTCCCTACCATGAAGCAATCAATAAAACCAAATTCAATTCAGAACCCTGCCTGGTGCATCTAGGCCTTCACGCTTTTCTTCACTCGCATCGTCCATCTTCTCATCATCCGACGCGTCTTGTCCCTGTGCGTCTGCAGGACCTCGCTGCAGCAACTCCTGCGCCAATGCAGAATCCTCCGCAGTTTCCAGGACACAGCCCTCCAAAAGATCATCACTGCCATCTCCCAGTTCCACCTCCGCATAGAAAGGATTCGTTTTCCTCAAACATTCAACAGCGGCAGTGTACTCATCTCTCGGGGCACGCAACAAAGAAGAGCCCTTGACTGCATCCTTCTGGCTTCCAACCAAAACAAACAAAACTGCATCTTGCATATCAACATCTTTTGGAGGGAGCGTGGTCAGCACTGAAGACGGCTTCGCTTGCGGGAGAAAAATCGAATTCCCTACAAAGCCATGCTGACGTTCCTCACGCGACAAATGCCCGGGCTGCAATACCACAACCTGCATGCACGCCCGTGTCATCGGCAAAAGTCGCTTCGTGGCCGAGGCCAGGCCACGCAATGCGGACAGTTGCTCGCCCATCCAAAGGTCATTGGCCAAGCTGTGCCGAGGCAACGTCAGACTAGATGACATCAACGAGCCCTTGCAGTCACTGCACACCAGGCAAGGATCCTGCAATTGCAGTGACATCCGAACATACTACTAGAACTTCACCCAAACAAAGTCGAGTAATCCGATGCCGTGAACAGAAAATTAGCTACAAACAAGTTGGTATACCGTGATCCCTCAATGAAAGCAACAAACCCGTGCAGTCTCCCAAACAAAGTCGAGTAATCCGATGCCGTGAACAGAAAATTAGCTACAAACAAGTTGGTATACCGTGATCCCGCAATGAAAGCAACAAACCCGTGCAGTCAGTGGTAAGGGTCCTTCAAGTCCACCGGCATCCGACGCTTGTGTAAGAGCAAATGCTCCCCCTTGCAGTATGGATGTTCAACAGCCGAAGCATGCAGAGCCTCCAAAGGGATATTCGGCCATCTTCGACTGTATCTTTCAACTCCAAGAATTCGACACAAGCGTTCCTGTTGACCACACGGAATCACATCCACCGCACCGTTCTCCAACTCGGTGCTGCCAGCCGGATCTTGGAATAAGATTAACATCTTCAGCTGCTCCCGCCAAAACCTGCGAGCACACACCACGCATGCAGTTTCAAAGCGACCTCCTTGCTCGGGCTGTCGAAGCCTTTCATCAGCATTCTCCATGAGGCGACGTTGCGAAGCAAAGCTGGTGACCTGATGCATCACGTCATCAAAACATCATCAGCAAATTTCACTACCATGATATCTCGCATCAAACATGTTACACTACCCTACTCCGATCGTGCTAACAGAAATACAAAACGCAAAAAACTCAGTACCACGACGCCGTGAATTAAAACTATTCACCCCGTTTATGATACAAATTCCACACAAATAGCTACAAAAAGCTCAGTACCCCGATCCCACAAAAGGTCAGCGCAGACAAGAAACTGTGGGGCCCAGGTGTGTCAATAGTCCAATGACCTTCTTACGATACTCGATGAGCACACGGCTGGCATCGGCACCTCCACTGTGTTTCTCCACTAAATGTTCCAAAAACTCTTTCTGTCCGCCAGTTCCAAAATTGCACAGTCTGCACTGGTAACGCTCCAGCGGATTCTGAACATCATCATCATCATAAGACCATAACACAAGGCCAGACAGCGCTTCACCAATAGCAGTGATAGCTGGACTGCAGTCCAACATCTGCGCAACTTCACGCAGCTTGATCTCAAACTTCATATTCACATTTTCCAACAGCAAATGCTTTCTTGGCAACTTGCAAATTCTCTGGCAAGGCCTCCATAGCAATGCCCGCAGCAACATCCATCTCCACATCTGCCTCCTCAGCAACTTCCACACAGGAAGAGCCAGTGCTGTCAGGAACAACTGCATTACCATCCCCTTCCACATCCACCTCCGGAACACATTCCACAACAGAAGTGCCAGCGCCGAAAAGGATGGCACTCAATGGCACAAAAGCGGCCTTGCAAAGAGTTCCTTCAGTCCACCCAGGAATCGACTGCATCAAGTTCCGTTCCGTGTCGGATCTCCATTTGATACCATTCTCTGCATCATCCGAAGCTTCCAAACAATCCAACTTCAACTCCTTGATGTTGTCCACATCGCCAGGGAATGCAGCTTTCATGGAACGACAGCGCACCTTCTTCTCCTTCTCCAAATACTCCGACACCCGCTTGAACAGCACACCGTCTTCATCTGAAGTCGGCAACCGCAAGCACTGCTGCACTTCCTGCCATTGTCGTATATCCAGTTCCAATTGAACGACAACCGGAGACACGCCGCTCCTGTACACACGATGTCATAATCAGTATGCAATTCCTCGAGATCTCACGGACAGCCCCTACAGAAACCTCGAGAAGATATCTCTGATGATCTCGAGATATATTGGCTACCATGATCACGCGCATGATGTATAAATAACATACGTTATCTCATTCATCGCGCAAACAAAAAAAAGCTCGGTACCATTATGCTTTACATGAGCAATTCTGGAGATCTCACGGACAGCCCCTACAGAGACCTCAAGAGATGCAACAAATGTTGAAGATATTTGTTTGTCGCTCCTTGGTATTTCAAAAACATGATGCCATCTATGACATATGTCATGTCATTTTATTAAGAACATTTCCCCATAAATGGGACAAAACAGCTCGGCATCATGATGCCGTCTATAACACATGATAATTCATTTTCTCATGCAAATACCCACAAAGGTGACAAAGGTAAGAAAACTTCACAAAACACACAACAACGACACGCACTCGTCCTGGAATCACGGAGTTCTGCGACCGTCACTGGATCGTGACGTGAGCGCATAGCTTGCAATGCAGGCGTCTGGCGAGGATGAAGTAACTGCGTCAGCAAAAGCCAAGCAAACTGTAAACACTTCTTGTTCCCATAGCGAGCAGATGGAAAACATTCGGACCAATAGCACACCTCCACGTCCTGGTCAAATCTTTCCCAACCATATCTCCGCATCAGGCATCGCAGGTACGTCGCGTCTGCAGCATCCAGCTTACCTCGACGCCGGCGCACCTCGCCCTCATCATCCACCACCAACGCTTTCGTGCCCCACAGGATGCCAAGGACCACCTGCAAGCAACACAAAGACCAAACAACCGCGAACCGGCAAGACACGACAAAAAAAACTAACGCAGGCCATACAATAGTTTCGACAACCACTCACCTCCACCACATTGTCACGATCCTCATAACCACCAGAACTGTCCCATTCACAGGCAGCTGTAAGTGTGTGGACATCCCACAAACGGCTCGCCACTTGCAACATGTCCGCGTCGATGGTGAACCCCACCAAACGACACCATTGAAGTCGTCTTTCTTCCGATACACTCAGCAAAACACAGGACAACAATGCCACGACCTGATGCCGCAGCAAATGCTCCATGCCAATGGAGGCGAAGTAACCTGGTAAATCTAATAAATCAACAGAATCCGTGACAGCTTTGCTGGGCCACGATTGCTGCACTTCATCGAAAGTAGCAAGAAGCGGCAACGTCGCATCCACCACACGAGCATCCAAAGAAGCAAGCGAAAGATGCAATCCCTCCACCTGACCCATGGTCTTGTCGGCCAAAACCGCCAAAATACGCATGCGATCTTTTTGTTCTGGAACAGCATCTCGAAGCAATGTAGTATCAGGCGCCGAAGGACTTTCCAAACATCGTTTCAGCCAGCCCCACAAGACACTTGCACCAGATGCAAGGGTATCATCGTGACACGGCTCCTGCTAAAAAAAAATATAAAAAAAAACAGCCGCACTTGACGTTTTTGCAATGCCGACAGTCTACAATTCAATTCTCGAGATGTCACAAACAGCTCCCACAGAAACTTCAAGATGTCGTTTTTTTAATTACACCCAACCTCCATGGAAGTCGCCAAGACTTTCTTCAACGAATTACGCAGCTCTGCTACAGGCAGCCAAGCGTTGCCCGATCGTGTCTCCACACCAGCCGCAGTAGCCAGGACTCGAAGCTCGTCTCTTCCTATTCCGTACAAAGCACGACTGAGCCACTCCTCACCCTCTGAAACAGCTCCAAGGTGAAGTTCTTCCAATTTGGCAGCCGATGCTTCTTCCACCTACAGCATGGAACACACCGCCACCACAAAACAACCATCACCCTACAAATTTTTCCCGCTGCTCATGCATATCAATGAAAACATAACACATAGATCCACTACATCACAAACGAAAATTAGCATGATCACTATGCAATTCTCAAGATCTCACGGACAGCCCCTACAGAGACCTAAAGAGATGCAACAAATGTTGAAGATATTTGTTTGTCGATCCCTGGTATTGCACAAACATGATGCCATGTCTCACAAACATGCGAATTCGGTCACAAAAACAACTCATGTCACAACACATTTTTTGGTTGAACCCAACCTCCGTGGAGGGTTCCAAGACTTTCATCAACGAGTTGCGCAGCTCTGCTACAGGCAGCCAATTCCGGTTGGAATGTGTCTGCACACCACCCGCAGCAGCCAGAACTCGAAGC